GCTGATTACAACTGAAGTTCAAATTCCTCTCTGAAATTCATTACTTTGAAGTAATCTTCGCACAAGCCGCGTATCTCCTATTTGTACCACACATCAAGGAAAAGAAACCTACATAAGACCCCTAATCCTTAAATCACATTTCTCTTATTCTGCTAATCTTCCCGCGGTGTCTCTTGAACCAGGGCAGCGCTCAAAGCTCGTGGAACGCCAATTCATATTTAATCTTCAGTAAGCCGATTTTCATTTTAGTAATCCCCGAATTCCAACGATTGTACTTGGTAACCTAACAAGGGCAGTAATTAACAATAATTTATATAAGGGTTAGTGGACTTATTTTGTGGTCTGATCTTTAAACTTAAGCGCTCGAACATGAGACCCTTGGTTGAGCTTGGGGGTAATAAATAATTCAGCGCTGATTAATCGTAGGTTTGATGGCAGATCCAGGTAACAAAGGTTCGGGATTATCTTGGTACACACTTTGTGGTATGTAAAGTTGGTAACGTGAGTATTGAACCGCTCATAATATATTACAGTCCCGCAGAGAGCGTTCTACTTTCACGAATTATTACAGTACTCTAACCCTTAAAAAGCAAGTTTGATCAAATAGAATTAGAAAATCCTCTGAGTGATCCAGTAAAATTATATAGATACTAGCTACTTCCACGCGGTTTCACTCGCTCTGCTCGGCGCCTATTAATCGTAGCGTAATATTTTATAGCCTATAGCCTTCCTCGATAAAAGGGCTATCCAACACAAGAATTTTTCAAATCGTACCAGTAGTTTCGGAGATTAGCGCGTTCAAACAAACAAACAAAAAAACAAAGTTTTCAGCTTTATACCTCTAATATTAAGTATAGATATAAATAATTATGCTTAACTAGTTGTAGCCCTTGATTTCGTCCGCGTAGTAGTTAACACAGGAATCATATTTATACCCATATAACCATATAACCATATTATGGGATAATTTATAGGGATAAAAATTATCTTATTATTTCATCAAAATCAGTTTCGTAGTATCAATGTGTTTGACCGACAAACATCTAAATACAGAAATATTTCACATTTATAATATAACTGTAATTGTAAACAATTGGAACAGATTACATTACAAAATTAAGTTAAGTTTTTATTTAGTTAAATGAAACATGATAGTTTTCTGATGTGTAGTATCTTTTTTAAATTATTTGTCCACCAACGTTTTGTAATGGCTATATTGTATTCTGCACTGTGAAATTGAAAGACTTCCTCACGACGACAGTGAAGATTGATGATAATGCATTTTCTTGTCTTTTTTTTCGTTTAAAAGACTTCTTGGAAAGAATGACTGTGTTCATGTCTGTGCACCAGTTGGCGCCACTGGCGAGTTTAGTCTGTAAGGGCAATTACTGTCACCATCAAAATAAAATGGGATTAATGGAAAATTGTATACGGATGCTGGAGTTCTGGCTAGAGCTTTAAAATGTATACAAAAAAATTGCCTAATTATCCTAACTGACCACTGTAACATAACCTAGTAGAAAATAGAGATTCATGTCAAAGCATTTGGTTACCGAAAATTCTTTTTAAACATTTTCAAATTCAACAGAAAATAAAATTAAAAATACACCTCACAAAAATAAAGCTACCGACTCTTCAAATGGCTACAGAATTATTCTTAATTGAATGACAATATTTTTTCCTCAGAGCTGAAATTGAAAGGCAAAAACAAAGTAGACGGACTAGCAAATAGAATTTGGTTTTAGTTCGTCTCATAAAAATAAATCAAACGACTTTAAAATCAGGATTCCACGTAATCTCTCCGTCTATTACCCCGAGGAATTCCTCCTCTATTCGAGAATAAACCTTAAACTGATTACATTTAGAATCAAAGTAGCCTTACATGACACCGATTCAATTTAACTTCAAGAGCAATGCTTAATCGCAAACAAGTCTCTATTTTATCGTCTATAAAGTTCAACTTTGAATAAATGTGTATATCGTTTTAAAAGTAAATATTTTTGTTAAATTAAACTCTTCATTTATAGAGTTGTTTCTTTGTGTATTAATTAAAAACTCGTTAATTGTTACGTACAGGAATATAAAATGCTATTAAAAGTTTTTAAAAATGTATAAATATGTAACGTTGTACTGATTACATGCGTTGCAACTCTTCTTCATTATTTTAATGAATAAAATGTGATTTGTTTAAAACCTTTAAACTAAAGTACAGGGTGTGTTAAAACCAACAATTTCAATACAGTATAATTAAGACTTGAAATTGATGAATGAAATTATTCTACTATTAATTTTAATTTAATTTTGAAACGTTGCCGCACATTAGGATTTTCTTCTGTGTCGTGGGTGCGTTTACATACAAGTTCACATACACATGACACCCAGACCCGGAACAACAATCTGTGGATCACACAAAGATTTGTTGCGTACGGGAATCGAAACCGCGACACGTTGCGCAGCAGTCAGTTGTCCAACCACTGCGCCAACCATTTAGTCGAATATCGCGCCGTCGTCTATTATACTGCCACTGATTTTCCAACATACCTATATCTCGAAAAGTATTCAGCAAAAAACATAATGTACTATAAATACAAATACACTTATACTACGCCCTTCATCTCGAGTAATAAAACCACAATGATAAGTTTGAAAAAGCCATCACATTCCTACTAATGCTTTACACGCACAAGCATTTCTTTTCAAATTGCCGTAATACCATCATATGAAAATGATTCAGGATACGGTAAACGAAAAATAAAAAATAAGCTTTCAAGAAATATGTACAGTGGGATCCCCATGTTACAAATGGTCGCTTAGCAACGTATTCTGGTGAGGGAAGTGTTAGGTGAAAAAAAAATCATAAAATGGAGTTTATTTTTGTCAGATACCGGGTGTTACTCTGTTATAATAGCCTTGTGTGGTCGTTAGTGAGATCCTGCCGTACGATATGTTTAAGTTAAATAAAAATAAGTAGAATTTTGCATTGTTTTCGTATTTTTGGACATTTGGGTGTTAGATAAGTAGTTATAAACTTTTAGCTACATCACATTATACGAAAACTTATATCTTGTACTAGAATAACAACATAAACTATGATATTACATCTTTTAATCCTCATACATAGGTTTTAGTAAAGAAAAGTCCAGAAAACATTTTTTTTTATACCATGACGGTAACAAAAACGCACACGGCCTATCCGATGGTAAGCGGTTACCGTGGCCTATGTACGCTTGCAACACTTGGGGCATTACATGCGTCTTGCAGCCTCTTAAGAAACCTATTCACTCCCTTTGTGAATAATTGAGCATTTACGTCGTTCAGTTATCTTTGCAATTACTAAACGAGGTCATAAAAAAATAAATATTTTGTTGTGTCCTAAAAGCTAATACTTAAACTAATTGCTGCCCACAAATTTATTCGCATTGAATATTGACGTAATATTGATTTTTTTGAAACCCATGCCTCATATTATCCCTTAAAATAAAATCATACTATACCCTAAGCCACTCGTAAAGAACAGTCCAGTCCACTAAGCAACCGTTCCCAACAAACAAGTTACTATTTCAAGTACATCTTATAGTTTTCCTCGTCTGTATAACCACGAAACACTATCCCATCTCTTTTATCTAACTTCCAAACGGATTGATTAATAGAGGTACGTTTTATTGTGGCTTATCCTTCTTTATCCCGTAATTAAGTCCGAATTTAACCGTAATCCCGGTACAATCGAGTCAACCTGTCTCTTATTTCGAATTGTAATCGGTCTAGTTTAGTTTATCGGTAGAAAACTATATTATCTTAAAATTGCGACTGATTAAATAAATGAAAGCAATTGCTTGCTGTGATTATTTTTACTAAACTAATAATCAATATACCTATATGAAAATGAATTTCTTTTTTCCCTTGGTGACGGCATCACACGTGAATGGCTGGACCGATTTCACGAATTCTTTTTTGTTGTTATTTTTTATTATTAGTAGAAGGTTCTTTAGACAGAAAAAGTCCTGGAAACCGTACGGAAACGAGAGAAAACGGGATTGCGGGCAGAAGCTAATAATTCATAAATCTCATTTGAAAACTGTATTTAACAATATGGGTTTGTTATGAAATCATATACGACATTAATATTTACGCATTTTGACAAATTAAAACTTGCCTCTATAGTTGTTGGAAAAGGTCCTTCCCTCTTTCATCGAAATCATGTAAGAAATAATGGATTATTGTTAACTGCTCAGCCACAGAATGGAATAATACGAAATATTACAAAACAAACCAGAAATACAATAACATTTAGAGAGAACAAAGCGCTATTTACCTATTTTTGTTTGCAATAATTTTAACAGCTTTCAAAAATCAAACAATAAGAAGCAACAAACAATTTTACTTTTATATTAAATTACACAAAAACCAGTGTAAAGTAGATACTTACTTTCATCAAAATTCCTCAATATAACTTTTATTATTATCTAAATTCCAAGTTTAATGGTTGTTAAATCGGAAATACCTGTTAATTAACAAGAGAAAACTCTTTGTTTTCTTCCTGAATATTAACAATTAAATAATAAGTTGAGAACGATGCCAAAAACAGTCTAATAAATGAGTTTATTTGTAATAAATTGTTAGAAATTGAGCCGATTGTTTATAGGTAATTGTTTGAGATATTTCGATTCTGTTTCCACAAAAAATAAAAGTTGTTAATTAGAACCTCACGCTTGATACTTATGGACTTACGAAACCGTCTAAGTACTATTTATTTCATAATCACTTTGTTCAAAATTGTGGTGGTTTTATTAAGTCTTTTGTCTTTACAAACAATACAGCAATCGACAATACACTAATCCATTTCAATGTTTTAGATTATATTTTCGGGTTACATATTTGTCTAAACGCTATCTTTAGTGATACAGGACGTCTTTTTTGACAGGAACTGAAACGATTGAGAAAGATCCAGATCATGATCAGTGTATTATAGATATATTGACGTGAATTTTCTTTTGTTCCAGGGGTGGTGTTAGCCTAAGATGGTGTTGGCGCTGGTGGTCGGAGTGTTGTGCGTGTGGGGCCGCCTGAGCGACGCAAACCCAGAAGCGAAGCGGCTATATGACGACCTGCTTTCCAACTACAACCGCCTCATCCGGCCCGTTGGCAACAATTCTGATCGACTCACTGTCAAGATGGGACTTAGGCTCAGTCAGCTCATCGACGTTGTGAGTACCTTTTATACTATTATAGCTCTTATATGTATTTGTGATTTTTGGGGATATTTTTGCGTGATACAAATCTCTAATATATCTTCTAATAGGAGATGTTTGTTAGATATTAAGTTAAACTTAAAAACAATTACACTATAACGAAACCAGTTGAATTTTTGCTAAATCTAGCGCCCAACAGAATATGCATAGCAATTTGTAATGATCCACGTATTTAGCAAAAACAAAGAACCAACTAGGCAACTTGATTTAACAACAATTTGACATATAAACACGTTTTCATAAAAATATTCCAACATTTTTATTCTTAGACTAAACTAAAACACACTTCAGTTAAACTGAATCCTTTTGAAATTATGTAATTTAATTTATAATTCGTTCACGTTTTCCGTAGTAAATTATTTCGGAATGAGATAGCAGGCTTATCCGGGCATGCTCATCAAATCCTTTCATTAAAAACCGGCTTAGTTACACTATCGTATCGTTCCAATCCAACGGTTATACTATATAGACAAGCTGACTATATTCTCTACCGGATTTTTAACTAAAAAGTATTTTTAACCGACATATAATGTAAGATTCATTTTATCGATTTTAAATCCAAGAGTTATTGTACTTATCTACTCTTCCAAATACAATAATAAAGCGGTGTGTTTAAAATTTAAGATAATTAGAGATCTCAAAATTTTTATTCTACATATTTTCCTATAACTAGACTATCTCTATCTAGACCATACGAAAGTAAAGCTATTATATAAATCACTATTAGATTGATGTCTTTATGAGAGCAGACCCTTTATGAGATCTCTTTTAAAAGAGCTATAATCAAAGACTCACTTCTTACTCAGATAATTAAGGAAAAGCCATGCTTCTGCATGAATAGGCCGGCTCGACCGGAGTGATGCCACGGCTTACAGAAAACTGACGTGAAACAACGTTTGTGTTGTGTTTCGTCCTTCGTTCTATCTAAAGCTAATTAGACAAACCATGTATGTACAACATTGTCGATACTCTTCTCAAAGTATGTACCTATGTACTGCATCCACATATTTTCCCATATCGGAAAATGTTTGGCGACAGATTTTCATTTAGTTTCGTAACTTTTACTCGTAGAACGCTATAAAGTTTGAGGGCAAACTAGTCCGTTGAAATTCTGCTTATTTTGGTTTTTGAATTTTAACAAACAGGCATTAAATTTTCGTGGTTAGCAATTTTTCGAGTTGATAGTTTTCGTTTTTCTGTGAACTGCCACTCTTTGATACGGACTTTTTGGTTTGACATCAGTTACAGACTACAACTTTTTAGACGTTTATTTTCTTTTGCTGAGCGATTTTTCGTTCAGTTTTAACATCAAGTTAAATTTTATCTAGTCTACACTAGCAGGAGATGATGATTTAAATAAAAACGTGTGTAGTATGCAGTTATGCACATTGTTAGTAGATATCTAATCAAAAACCAATTACCCTAGTCTAATAACCACAGCATAACCTAACTAATCAGCGTCGAAAACAGAGTTAATCACCAGAAAATCACACTTAATAAATAATTAGTAGCTCTAAAACTAAAACTAACATTCCAATCAACTCCATAACCAATCAGAACAAGCCAAAAACCACTTTAATCCTAATAAATTTAGAACAACATATTCCATTTCAACAATTTCGCGATTCTATCAAACCAATTCTATTTAAGTTGGCTGTTGACATGGACAGAACTCATTTAACTAAGCCACAGCAGAATCGAGTGCGGCCATCGATGCATTTATTGATATAATGTGAATGGAGAGTGCAAAACTTTATGTACGCAGCCGCACGTGTGTTGTTGCTAGCTCAGTGCGTGATATCGAGACGTAATGTGCAAATATTACAACATTACTATTGATTTTATTGTCGTGTCTAGTAGTGTAGATCATTGTAAAAATACGAATGTAGTTTTTTGCTTTTTTTAAAATATTGGTTTTAACAGGTGTAAAATATTTCAGATTGGAAATAATATAATTACTTTTGATATAGTTTACATTGCAAATACGTATGTATTTGGAGTTTTATCATTTTAAAAAGTTATTGAACATAGGAACTCTCTTATGCTTATGTATTTGGCAAAAATAATAAAAGAAATAAAATATACTTTATCAAAAACTTGTCGTTGTAGTAATGTTTAAGTAAGTTATATTTATTATGAAAAATATTATTATTGTTCAGATTCTCACAAGACCTTTGCTCAAGTTTCATTTTGGGTAAACTTGGAGAATCAAATAGAAACAAAACCTTTTTTACTTGAAGAGTATAGGGTATGATTACAAGAAGGAAAGTTTTACGGAGTTTTACTCGGTAATATTACGTTTTTGGAAGATTATATCAGTATGTAACTAGTACTTTTACTAGAAATGGGTTTATTTTATTATTGTTTATTATAAGTACTGATACTGCACTTTCTTTCGTTTATATTACTTTAGCATCATCAAAATCAACAGATGTGGCAATTCACTCCGCTGCACTGACTGCAAAGACTGCACGGATGGCGCGGTGGCTGGACAACTGGCTGCCGCGCAATGTGCTGCGGGTTCGATTCCTGCACGGAATAACTCTTTGTGTGATCCACATATTGTTGTTCCGGGCCTGGGTGTCATGTGTATGAGAACTTGTATGTTTGTAAACGCACCCACGATACAGGAGAAAATCCTAGTGTGGGGCAACGTTTAAAAAAACTTTATAGCTATGCTATATGAGTCTCCTCTGCCTAAGAAGGTTTGCTGTAGTCTCCAAACTTGGTTAGCTAAGAACGTTGCTATCTGAGTACTAATATGTTCAATAATAATTAAGTAGTCTTTTAGTTGGTTCTTAAAAGTTTATACTACAGAGCTTATATTAACATTTAGGCAAATAAATGAATTTATCTATCTATCTATTTATCTATCTATCTAGACAACTTTTTTATTATAAAAACTGTTATCAAAAAACCTATACATACAAAAAAGAATTTACATCGCGATACTAATAATAAAGGTAATCTCCCTTCCCTATACAAACCCGCAATCACTTAAAACAGTGGAACAGAAAAGCGATTTTATTTTTTATAAAAAAGTCTTCAACTGCCTTTGCTCTTTAGGCATAGAGATGGCATTCCCTTTTCAAACAAGCCTTTACACTGATTGGCTCTTTCTACAAAGGTATCGGTCTGATTGGTCGGTTTTTGTACATCGAACGTTCTAGAATCTAGTTTGAATTTTTAACGTTTAACGGAATTTTATGATTACGTAAAGGAATTCGTTTGAGATCTTTGCAAATGAAAATGCTTGTTATATTTATTTTTCTTTTTCTTCTCTGCTTGGAAATGTGTTCATAATATCATGAAATTAAAATACTTGGAGTGTTTCTACAGAGTTTATAGCAAGAAGTGAAAATAATTGTTTTGATGGTTGTTCGAGGTAATTAGATTTCCTGTGAGAATAAATATTAACCGAACTCACAAAAGTTACATTACCTATATCTCTCAGAAAATATCAAAAACCTATACAAACACGTAAGCTACAGCACATACATTAGTCTCAGCCCTAATTACAAACAAAAGAGAGAATTCTTTCCCTCCACTATGAGTTGATCGCCTCTGATTCGTTAATTTGAATATCGATAAAAAGAAGCGGTGATATTCCAATTTTAAAATTCATCACGTTTCTCCCCTTTCTTGTCGTCCCTGGGGGTGCACTCTTTGTCGTTTTTATACTTTTTGATGCAAAGTGACGGTTATTTTATTATGGCCATGCATAAATTTATTTGAAAAAGGAATACCCTTGGTAGTTTTTTGAAGTGGCCATTGTTTGTTGTAAAATAAGTTATACGAATAATTCAGTAGTTGAAAGTTTTGTCAAAATTTTACTTTCTTACTTCATTGCTAAAGATGTATCGCAAGTGTGACTACCAAACAATGGGTTCCAAACTCAATTCCCAGATCGTGCAAAGTAGTTTGTAATAGATGATGATGATGTTTGTAATTCTGCTCGGTATTTAGCAGCAGACTTACACGTATGAAACGTATCACAAAATGGTGAAAAGTGATCATATCTCTAAAAATATACTAAAATACACTACACATTGTAACACAAAACACTATAAATAAACAAATAAGTGGGGTTTGTAACAAAAGCTAACGAAAATAAAACACAACGCAACTTACGAGATTTCCTTAACAAAGAGAGGACGATTTAGTTTTAAGCTCTGCACCAATTATATTTTACTACTGCCGGCTAGTTATGGGGCCAGGAAATAAACGGGTTGTTATAGTAGCTGTATAGAGTAAGACTGGAATTAGTAGAAGTTTATTTTCTTTTAGGTTTTACGATGTTATGTGTACACATGTAAACTCTAGCCTTTATTGCAAGTATAAGATAGAATGAACAGTTTATTTTTTGGTTGATCCAAGTTCATTTTCTCCACATTCAGATTCTTTAGTACTTACTATATTTGTGTAAATGTATAATATTCCGAAGCTTCGATGTTTACATTAAAACTTTCGTGGGGCATACTAAATTAATTATTATGTTAATATGAGCCTCTAGCATGGTTTGAAACTAGTCGAGTTCCTCGTCAAACAGATAATACATATGTACGTGAGTAAGCCGAAAACATGATAATGAGCTTCGAAGTTAATGGAAGAGCCATTGCAGTGATGATAAGTTGTAATAATTTTAAAACAGGTATTTTAAAAAACTCTCAATGGGAAGCCAAAGAATCACAAATTCTACAAGGAAATCATTTATCACAAACATAAATCGCTATCCGCTTCCACATACGCTAGTTTCCTGGCTCAATTACACCAGTATACAACCTGCCACATTTTCAGTGCGCGCTGAAAGCGCGACATTTGTGTAATTACACGCGAACGTGCTGAATTTACGTTCCCTGTAAACTGACCGGATCACGACTGCACTTATTACCAACACTAATGTTCAAATCGTTAAAAACTAGAGTTTTATAGTTTTGCAGTTTATAAAATACTTT